AGAGAGAGAGAGAGAGAGAGAGAGAGAGAGAGAGAGAGAGAGAGAGAGAGAGAGAGAAAGAGGAAGAGACGAGAACATAGAGACAAAGGGAGAGAGACAAAGCAAATCCAAGTCCTCTTTTAAAAAAGGAAAATGCATAGTGCATTTCATCGCCGCCAATTCAAATTAAGAGATGACTGGATTATCCGTTCCGCCATACGGCAAAAGCCTACGACAAACCATTAAAAATAAAAAACCAAACGTCAATGCCCACAGGACGAGTCATCCAGCCAATCGAACCACCACCCACTTCCCTGGCCAGCATGGCCAATTGGGAACCACCACCCACTTCCCTCGCCAGCACGGCCAATTGGGAACCACCACGTCAACGATGGCCCGGTGACGGCAACATCGACGACAGAAAGGCTATCACTTTCGCATCGTTCGTATCCATGGAAGCCAATGCGCACCACAAAGGCGACAGAAACTCTAACGCTCATGGATGGCCTTCGCTATCTCCAACAGAGCGTGGCACATCAGTTTGCTCACTCCGTCAGACGCTGCATAGTGCTTTTTCTACACTTCGACCTCCGCTTTCAACGTCTCGCACTGCCGTATTTGGATGGAGTACTGGCGCTTGCTGTTGCTCTCCATCGTCGACGCCATTAGCGCACTGTGCTTCTCTATGCATTCTATCATCGCTTCAAAGGTTTGTTGCCTCGTGCTCTTCCTCTTGCCGAAACCGCGAGGGCTACCCGTCATTGAGGGGGGGTCGGTTAACCTTCTCTCCATTTGAGAAGAACCTTTCGTCGACCCGTCGTCGTCGTCGTTGTGCCCTGTAGCCAGCCTCCCCATCGCCCACAGATTCAGGATCCGCAGAAGAGGCAGACGGCAGGCGCACACCACCCGGAGCACTGGTGTCGGTGACGTTCTTCGGGTTTATGGTGTGGTTCCTGGCGTTCAACCCCAATATCTCATCGTAAACTGCACGATCCATGTTGAAATTGAAGCCCTTCGACGTCCTCTCCTTCCCAGAGAATTGGAAGAAGTCTTGTTTTCCGAAGAAGCCTCGGAAGTGATGCACCTTCTTGAACTGCTGCATCAAATTGTCCCACTTCTTCCTGCACCGATCTGCGTCTCTGTCCACGCCCACCTTCTTCAACCTCTGCGCCACATCTAACCACTTCCATTCTCGCGGCTTCATCCGAGCGTACACGTGACCCATCCCCTGCAGATGCGCATCCTGGTCACATTTAGCCCGGATGAGGGCTATAATGTCGTTGACAGACCAGAAATGATGACCTCCTTCCACATCAACGTCACCTTCGGCATCGCTCCCCTTCCCCGCCGCTTTTTCCCCCCGACGACCATTGCGGGCACACGCCTTCGTCTTCCCGCCCCTCCCTCTCATGCTGCTTTTCTTGAATGGCGAAACGTAGCCTGCGTCCTCCTCCCCACCTTCGCTAGCGTTGTCGTTCCACTCCTGAACGTCCACGTCCACCACAGCTGCGTCGCCGTCATTTTCTTGCTCCCCCACACGCAGTCGCTGCACCCCCCGAGTTATGGATTCCTCCTGCCCCGACCGGAGCCCCATCGGTGTTCTGCCCACACCTCCCTCCCGTCCCGTGCATCACCAAGATCGGCGATGCCACAATCCGTCTCCCCGCATTCGTCACGACGGCGGGCTTCACTCGAACCGGCAGACAAGGGAGACGGAGACTCCATCCACTGGGGGCGAGCAGAGGCACCCCTCGACACAGACGGCGACCGAAATTGCTGCCTCAAAGGATCCCTGTTGTTCCCCGACGTCTCCAAGACTGGCGCTGGAGACTTCAATGATCACGCAACAACTGTCACTTGCCCGCCATCATCGTCGGGACGGGGGGTGACGATGACCGTTTGCGAGGCGGCCGACGACCTTCCGCTACATAGCCCGAACGAAAGATTCACGCCGCCATCGCCTTCGTCGTCGCTAAGCCCCTACTAGAGGAGTCCGGTGTAGGAGTGGCCATAACTTTTGTAGCCGCCCACTCCTGGGTGGACCCGCTTTCCAGCGGCATAATCCGTGACCGTCTGTCATCCGCCTCCTCCTCGGACGTGTCCGGCAGAGGTTGCAAGTGTAGTGGCAGGTGCACGTACCAGACCGCTCCGACGACCTTGAACTCCTCGACGGGCTCTGCCTAGCCCACTGCCCACCAGGGCCACCACCCTGCTCCCCTGCAGACTTGCAGATCGCCTTGCGCCCCTCCATCCTGATGTCCTTCTTCAAAGGCCGTCCGTTGGGGGCACGTCGCGGAAGGCTGCCGAGGATGCACACGTGGAAGACAACTAAGAGGAGGAGCAAGAGGACGACCAGCACCAACAGCCATAGCCTCCGAAAGACATCGGCCATGAAAGGCAAGTGGACGACGACAGCAGCTAGTAGAAGACAACGGTGGATGTCCAGGAAACGGCGAGGGATAGTGGTGCAAACTGTTGATAGCAACTATCGAGAAAAGCAGGGTAACGTATTCCGTCGAGAAAGACACTGTGCAATGGGGACAACGGGGGCCGGCTGAAGTATTCGAATCTGTCGACCGTTGGGTGCCTTCCCGCTCGGGGCCAAGGGCAGCGACGCAAGGCAGCCCCTTTTCAACGTCGCGGAGGCCGGCAGGGTGCCAAAGGGGACCGTTGGTGGAAAATTTCATGATGCCGACCATTGCCGACCGAAGATGTCCGTCCACGGGCTGCCAGGAACAGCAATCGACCAGCCGCATTGAAAATTGTCATCGACAGAGCTGCCGTCGACGCCCCGATTCTTTCCGATGCTCGACCTCCAAGGGACCTCGGGAGGTCCGTTGGGGAATGCGTCGAAATGGCTGTAGCCCGAGGAATCCCCGAGGAAATGTTTTCACATTTTGTTTTTTGAATTTCTTCCCCGAGGATAAGTGGAACGATGATTTCCTCGAGTGATTTACGCGCCCGAGGAGTGTCAAACGAACCCCTAAGTCTTCCACTGCGCTATAGAACGTCATTCTTGTATGTATCGGAATGTACAATGCTTGTTGAGATTCTACTTGCACTTCATTTTCCATTCAGTTCTTTTTATCACATTGTGAATCCTTGGTTATATATGTACATTGCCCAACTGGGCATGTAACAATTGGTACCGGAACACCGCACGTGAATCAAGACAACCTGATCTGACACGTGTGTGGAGACTGAGTAGGCCGATTATTCTTGATTGATTGATTAAAGCACACTATTTAGCCCCCAAAATCACAGTTTTGACCTCACTGCCGAAAATCAATTTTTTAATTTTTTTTGTTTTTTTTGGATTTTGTTTTCTCGCTATTTCTGTTGTGGAAAATCGAAATAGCGCAACATCTGAAATTTTCGATTTCGTTTTTCTTCTGAAAATTCTAAATTTCGTTATTGAAAATCCGAAATATCTTTTTTTTTTGAAAATTTCAATTTTCTTTTGCAATTTCCCGTTATTTGGAAATCCGGAATATTTTTTCTCCGAAATCCGTTTTTTTTTTTAAATGCTACGAGAATCTCTCTTGCAGTTCTCGATCTCCAAACTGCGTGTACTCTCATCCGAGTAATTCCAAATTAGTTTTTTGTACTTTATTTTCAAAAACAAATTATCGAAAAATCATTTGCGGTCTGAAGTTCGAAATTTTTTCTCATTGGTAATTTCGCACTTCTGAGAAATTGGGACGCATAGTGAACTTGCAAACGAGTATTTTTTTCTTTTTTTTCGATTTATTTTGCAAAGTTCAAACTTTTCTTTTTTTGATTAGTGGCTCCTTATCTGGGCGATTTATCCCACCCCTCCCTACCTATGTTGTTGCCCCCTCTGGTTTTCTCTACCTGCCTCCTGGTACCCCTTGCGGTGGCATTGGGGAGTTGCCACGACAGCAGGCCACGTCAGCAGGACACGACAGCGGTGCCACGTCAGCAACCATTCACTGCAGCAGCAGGTCACGTCAGTGCATGGTGCTCACCCGCTCAAAGACAAGTGACATGGATCAGCAGCCAGGCGAGACTACCGAGGCCTATGAGACCCGCATGTTGGACATGGTAGCAGAGTTCAAGCAACGGGCACGTCGGGCAGCTGCGGCAACATCCGCACGTAAGAAGGAAGATCAGGAAGCAGAGGAACAACGTCGGCTCGCTGAACAGCAGCAATAGGAGGACGCTGAGGCAGCGAGGAAGGCCGCAGAAAAATGTCGTCGACTACGCCGAGACAAAATCCTCGAATGAGAGGGGGACATTGAGGTGATCGCGGATAAATGGGCAGTGGCTGATGAAAAGGAGGGTGCCCCCCCTGCTGTTCGTGGCCGTGCAACCACAATCGAACATGTGAGCGACTTGGTCGCCGCCTGTGCAGCACAACAAGAGGACATCCTCTACGTGGACACCCTCGTCGGGAAGCAGGCTTGACTTATCGACGAACTACTTGACCGGGTACGCCGGCTGGAACACCAGCCAACAACAACCACCCCCGCCAGACCCTCCAACTTGACAGACCGCGTCAACGTCTTGGAAATCGACGTCGAGACTCTCAAGGACGGGGCTCTAGCGACAAATTAGCGGATTGACTAGCAGATTTGTGCAGCCGCAGCCAGTCCAACCGCAACTACTCGCGAGAGAATCCCAAAGTTTGACGGCCTGCCGATCTTTTGCGATGCAATGAAGACAGACCCGATCCCATGGTGGCGCCTGTTCGAGTTGAAGTTGGGCATTCACCACGTTATTAACCCGAACCGACGCTCATACTCCCGCTCAGGGGGCACGTGCTATGCATGGCTGGACAACATATTGTCCACGCACAACGTCGCAGTCTCCGAGCTGCATACGAAGATCAGCTGGGCTGATCTCAAGGCAGCATGGCATAAGCGGTTCCAAGTGGAGCCGCCCGAGCTTCAGGCARCCGAGAAACTTCAACGGTTYTATCAGAACGACCTKCCAAGCACRGACTGGATMACCGAGTACCAACRCTTGGCATCCACGCCCAACTTGCAGTCAACCTTCGTCGCTATCAAACACTTTTTCATCAGGAGGATTTGTCCGGCATTGCAGAACGCCATGATGCAAGTGAGCAGCTTTTCGGGACCGCAATGTGCTTCACAAATCATCATGACGAATACCGAAGTCATGAATTTGGGTCGTTCGTCTGCTGCGAGCCAGGGTAGAGATCAGCATCAACCGAAAGTGGTCATGGTCGCAACAACTACAACGATCGATCCTTGAAACGAGGCTGCCTCTTCTGATGAAGGAGAAATTGCCAGCCGCCCCGCCAGAGGGCAAGGACGCGACAAACCGAAGACACACACCAATTCATCCCCCGGAGTCAGACCAGCGGCTCAAGATCCTTGGACGCATTACGGTATCTCAGAAGGCGTGTACCGCATCCGTAGTAAATACCAATACTGCTTGTGGTGCAACAACACGGCACACGACACTGCAACGTGCCCCACGCAAGTCAAAGGCAAATTCCCTTCGGGAAAGTGAGCAGCGTCGAGAGTGATGCGGATGCACTCTCGACACCTTCGGAATCGGTTGCTTCGCGAGCGACCTCGCTTCATTCCGAGGCACATCCGAAAGTCGACAGTCCTCTCTTATATTCTTATAAAGACTTTGGTGCCCGGCTCGTTCCTTCGCTGGGTTCTCAAGCTTAAGGACAAGATGTGTGTGCTGCTTCGTCTCCGTCCGGCAACAATAACAATGAATCGTCTTCAAGGAGCTCTTCAAGGGATTCGACGCACGAGTTCAACATAGAGGTCTTGGACTCGTTGACGTCCGAGGATTTTGCATGGCTTCCTCTCCCTTCCACAGGCTGCTTGTCGGGACCGCAATGTGCAGCACTATGCATCCATCTCCACACATACTTAGCCTTCTATGCACCACCACCTTCGTCGACAGATGATGAAGCTACGGTGGGGGACATCCTTGCGTATGTTAGCAAGGTGGCCCTCGAGTTTCACACGCAAATATCGATCAACGAAAAAATTCTCATAATTAAATAATCATTCTGTAGTAAAATTTCATCTTATTTTCAAATTTTCATTCAATTTAAAAAAATGTCGTTCCAATTTTAAAACTTTTCATCTTACTTGCAAACTTTCATTCCAAGAATAGGGTATCCCTTCTTATTTGGACTGCATGCTAGAGATGGAATGAAAGTCTGGATGAGTTCATGAAATATTTTAATTGGACTGTCATTCTAAGTAAGGATTTAGGTTAATCCAATCTAAATAAGAAGATTTTTGTTGTAGTAGAATGTAAATTTAATTAAAACATTTCATAAACTCGTTCAGACTTTCATTCCATCTTGAACAAAGAGATGTAGATGGAAGGGAAAACTCATATTTAGACGGGAACTTATCAAATAGACTGAAAATTTTAGAATTGGATGAACATTGGAATGATAATTTATTACTATGAAGGATTTTTTTTTTATGGAATGTTTTTCAACTTTCATTTCTCGTTGGAATTTTTCTGTTGATAGATAGATAAATAGATAGATAGATAGAGAGCGAGAGAGAGAAAACAATAGAGAGATGCAGAGAGAGAGAGCAAATAAATATTATTTTATTTTCTTTTAATAAAATGGAGTTGGATTGTACTTTGTGGTTATTGTGCGTTCATCATTTTGCACGTTG